GGCAAAAATTTCCCTGTATACAGTTTTACTTTCTATTCATCTGATACATTCTACAATATGGTTTTCTTTGATGCCGACTTAGCATGCCTTTTAGTTTTACCGTAAATAATGTACATCCATAAATTAACATGTGATGTATATAAATGTATACATTCAAGACTGATAAATGTTTATATATTCTGATTGATGGACATGTATATGTTCTTATAAGTTAATGTACCTATTTACATTATACAATACAGTTTTTGTTTTGACTCACATTAAAAGATGAAGCACTTAGGCCAAAAAAAATTAATAGTTTCTCAGGCCAAAAAATTCAAAGTTCAATGCAGCAGGCAGGCTTTTTTTTTTTAAGCAGATTTTACACCCTTTTTTCATTAGTCATTTGTGCAGTAAAATGATATCTACTAATTATTAAGTTTTGTACTCTTAAATTAGTTATAATATGTATTCAGTGTTAAATAATGTTACATGTATTCCAAACATTTATTTAAAAGTTCACTGATAAAATACTTTAGATTTAGAAGAAACATATTGTTTTTCTGATAAAAACGTCTTTCTTAGCATTTATGAAAAGGAGAATAACTCGATTTTCTTTTTCAACTTGGAAAAATAGAAAATTGAGTTATTTCCCTTTTCAATATGTCAATAAAATTTATCAATGCGTCAATGCGGCCGTTTTTGAACTGATGCGGTGGTGCCTGAGAAACTATTGATTAATTTTTTGGGGCCTTAGTAAAGCAACAGTGTCAAATAAAATAACATATAATCAACTGATGTTCCCTGTTTATCCATAACCATGGTTATCTAAATTTGGAATGTTTATTACAATAATTTTAGTCCAATTACTGAACACTGGGATTGTGAACAACCATTCATCAGAGTTCATAGATAAATTAACCCAATTCATCACAGTACATAAAGTTTTCATCACTAATTGAAGCAAGTCTGGTACATCTGATAGCCATTTATAGCTAGGAGCTTATCCACTTCAAAGTGTCTCTAAACACTCATCTAATCATAGGGATACACATCCAGGGTATCTGGGACTGTCAAGTACAACTAGTAAACACACTCCCTCTACAAATGATTCTGTTTGGAGCTGTTACTTTACACCCTCTTGGTGGGTTTACAGGTGTCATCTTTTCTTGACTTTCTCCAGTATTTGTAACTATTTGTAACTGAAGTTGTCTGTTCTCCTGTGAAAGCCAAGCTATTTTTCCTCCCAATGTATTCAAGCTCTCATTTCGTAAGTTCTATGGACGATACAATGACCTTGTCAGCAAATACAATTTATCACCGACTCAAATGCTGACTAACGTTTTTCATACTAATTCTTAGTCTATAATTTATATACTGACGACATCTTTTTCCGTTTATTTCCCAAACATGACAAGGAGCACACGGCAAGTGTAACCGGTCGGCAGGGAATACTCACTCCTCCATGGCACCTAATCCCATCTCTGATGTTTTGGAGGTCCGTATTTGCTCTGCTCCTATATTGTATTGTTTTGTGGTCTTTAATCTTAAATACTGTACGTTATCGCCATATGTTTAATTTGAGAAGTGCTCCAAATTACCAGTCCCTTTCTGCCGTTGGTGTTTATAAAACATCAATTGAGTTGGTCTAGCTTAAGCTGACCATGACAAATCTATTGTACCAAAAGAAATAGAAAACATACAGACATTCTACGCTATTCTGTGCAAAACATATACATTCTCCAGCCCCCCCCCCTTTTCTTTTTTACAAATTTGTCTTTGCAAATATATTTTTTTCAAAAGGTACTACATGCATAAAATCTATGCTTTATTATATAATTTATGTATTAGATAGTTTTTGACAGGGGATAAAATGCCCCAAAAGTGAAAAGGCTTTATAACTTCATTAGGTAGACAAAAAGTGCATCTTGTATATGTTGTATCTTACTGACAATTGAAAAGTTTGGAACTTCATATGAATAATTTTTTTTAAAAGTGTGAGTTATTTATTTACAATTTAATAATTGCAAGTACTGGGAATCAAATTTGAATTTTCATTCATCATGTTAAAGTATGAAGGGAGTGGATGCATGCTCATGAAAATAGTTGCATTAATTTCTTTATTTCTAATTTTATACCCCAAAAAGTAATGGTAATGCATTACTTTACTAAAGCAATGGTAGAAATGCTTAATGCTGGAAGAAATGGTAATGTAATGTATTTAATGTACAATGTAATTCGCCCCAAGTCTGCCCCTTGGGTAGTATAATAGTATAATATGGTTTGGGTCAGTTTTAGCTTTTTTTTAATACGCTTAGCGGGTTATTAAGAGTAAAAAGAGCCAAACCAAGTTATAATAGATAATATGGCCAAGAATTAGAGTCATTCCTTATAATTTAATTTTAAAATAATTGAACAACTGAGGATGTAAAATTGTGTTGTTTTTATGAGTTCAAATTTACCGTGCAATAATACAACCGTAGTAACGGAAGTGATGGGAAGCGAGGGGAGGTAAAAACTGATACATAGATCTAGCAGCCATGATGCTTGTTTACATGAGGTAAGATCGAGCAGCTGTTTGAAATCAAAGGTACATTCATTAAATCTGGAATTTTCCATGAATCCCAGGGACTGGAAATGAGGAGATTGATGGATATAGATGATTCAGCTGGTTGTCAAGGGGGTGTGTCCCCATACCAAACCAGATTATACAAAATGTTATGCGTTCCTTTTTGGAAATCAACCAATGAGAGGCAAGAATACAAACAAAATTAAATTATTTTAAAATCTTCTCAAGAACAGCAGATGATTAGTAATACATGTATTGATATAGAATCATCTTCAGGTATAGTGTTGATTCAAGTTTGTTTAATTCAGGAATCAACGGTTTACCATGTGTGGTGAGGCACAATAGAAGAACAAACCTTTACTTAGAAATACTCGTATATAGGAAAATGTCTATTGAAACATTCTAATGTCATGATTAGCCAAATGAATATGGAAGCATCCTCCATTAGTGTAGATTCAAGTCTGCTCAAACCATGCCCTCTAAGGGAGGGAGGGGGAAGGGGTAGGTTGGGATTTATAGATTTAAACCATTTAATGCTGAGCATATCGATTGAGCTATGTGGTCCATGGGCTTCTTATTGTTTTTGATAATTTAATACTATTTCGTGTTTAAACGATATCTTTGCATTGTTTTAGATGACTCTTAAATTGAAAGTCCTTCAAGGGACATCGCCGCAAACCACGGGTTATGTGTCCGCAAGCTTCCCCAAACGTGATAATAGTGAGAATCAATGTGAATCACCCGTGGGTTACCGACGATGCTCATAGGATTGAACTATCAAAAGGTATATCATTAGGACCCATGGGTCAACTGTTTTTAGATCTTGTTTTTTAAAGTTTTTTTTAGCTCAATGACCTTTTTGAAGCTAGCCATGCAGGGGGTGAAAAAGGGGGGTGGTTACAGATACAAAATACAAATATTTATGGGGCAAAACATTTACAATACGAGTAATTAGCAATGGCACAACATGTTATAAGAATCATCAATTATTCATAAATTTAAACAATGTTCTAGTATAGAATATGAGGCTATACATAATTATGAAGATTTAAAATAATGAAGTTGCATGTTTGACAATACAGGTACGTGTGTTTGTGGGACGTACTACCGTATGTTTAAATGTAATAAAAAAAAGTACTAACTTTTTTTAAATAGCGTTTTTGATTGGCTGATAAATGGACACATGACTGGCATGCACTTATCGGGTTTAGGTGTACGTTATAATGAAAGACGTAGAATAGTAGATCTGAGAGATGTGAATTGAAATTTATCGAATAATAACGGCAGTTACTTTTAAAATTATTACTGCATATTCCAGCATTCTCGTGCCCGAAGCAAGTCAACGTAACATTTTTCTGCCTTCGTTATAAATTTCACAATCATGTTACACTGGGAAGAAGATCCCTTATAGCCATTCTCTATATCAAACGCAGGTAAGTTTTTTTTTGGTTTTTTTTTTTCAATTTCCGGTATTTCATTCAAGCAATTTTACAAATAAATCTGATTATTACAAACATGCAAATCTCTCAAAAAAGATTACTTTCGATTTTGAAGGAAAAGAAGCCTATTTCACAAAGCGAGCGCTCGCAAACATTATTGGAGGTATAAGGAATCTCGGCGAGCGCTCGCTCTGTTGAACAGGCATTAGGTAATCATATATACAGTGTGTTGCTAAACCGCTGATATAAGATAAAAACAGTATGGATCGGACAAACATGTTTTTAATAGGAATTAAGCCAAGGCCACATATCTGCGATATTTTAAAATGTGTAAATTGTGTATGTAGATTTGTGTAGATTATGTCACGCTTATCTGCATGAGCATGTTTGCATAGTAAAGTGCGATTTACATTACATTAAAACATTGCTGTGACGTCAAGCCTTTGTTCTTGCAGTCTAAAAATTTACCTGTAGCCGTCCGATAATAATAATTACCAGTCCGAACATATATTATCGGACGGCAATGATAACAAAATTGGACGGTATTTAAAAAGCAAAAAGAAGAGTGAAATTAAGATTAAATATGTCCAGAAACCCCAATAAAAATGTTAGGGAAAAAATTCAGGGAAACCAAACGCAAAAAGGAAATTAAGTTGATCACACTACAAAAAAGCAAATCCATGAAAAGAAATCCGAGTTTAAACCTTCCACAACATTAATACTTTCCACTCTTTAAAAGAGTTTTTGATTCAACACTTTGAATAAGCGAATTTAAATCCATTTCTGAAAAAAAATATTCTGCAATCTCCTTTTATATTTGTTCCCCGATGGCCACACTTTCAAAACCTGAGAATTTCCATTATCTAAGCTAAAATATCAGCTAGGGTAAAAATCCGCATTTTACTTTCCATGGTGATGGTTAAAATATCACCCAAAATTATGTCAGTATCAATGTCAATTTATGCACATCATAAATAAAAATGTTCCCCCCAAAAATCTTTCACCACCGGACCCTGTCGTTTCGACTGCCACTGAATGAATGAAATTAATGAAACAAGAGTTCACTCACTTGTTTTCCGTCTCATTTCCTTTATCTACTTATGAGACGGGTAGAAAACAATGGATGCCTAAACTCCCATTGTGTTATTATCGGACTCCTCCAGGTAACTTTTGGACATTTAAATGGCAATGTTTTAAGTAAGATATATGCCTCATACTATTCTATATGTAAAATTATCAGACAGTATTCGGCCCTAACGGGCCTCAAACAGTCTGATAATTTTACATATAGAACAGTATTCGGCATATATCCATTACATAAAGCTATAGGTGTCACAGCCTAATCTAGGTATTGAATTTGTAGTAGTAGAAATAACACACAAACACGGCTGCTGGATTCAATACTCTTTTATATAATATTTTACGTAAACAGAAAAAGGGTGACCTGCAATATACTACAACATGTATTTAATATTCCTCACCTCACACACACTTTTACGCGGATAAGTTAAACTTATGAATTTAGATAATTTAGAAATACACTTAAGTTAAATAAAATCATCAAATAGATGCTGGATAATAATTGAATACTAAGAAATAATTTAACAATTGTTTCTTACCTTAATCCTTGACTCAGTTTTGTCACAATATCGTGTATACCGGCCCTAAGATAAGTTGTGTTGGGGAGAGAGAACGTCTTCTCTCCCCAAAGTCTAATGTTGGAGTGCTCGAAAAGTTAGTATTGGTGCGGATGCGCAGGGGACATAGAAAAACCTGTTTAACCGCTCACGCACTCTGATACTCTCACTGACAACTCACCCGTATTTATAAATGAATGAATGAATGAACAAGGCATTGAACAGGTCCTGTTATAGTAACTAGTGAATTCTGTAACTAAGTTCATTCAACATGTATAAGTTATATAACAAGCTAATTCAGAGAATTCGTGTCCCCCGCTTAGGGAAAAAGTCGGATCCCCATAACTGAATTTGTAGAATTATTAAATGTATACATGTATACTGAAGCAAATAAAATACATGTATGCCAATATGCGTATAAAGATTTGATTGCTTATCCTTTATTATGTGTATAGAAGATTCTTTATATATGGAATATTTATCACACTCTAATGATGATTTTATAACCTCATAAATTCTTCTTTACACATGCTGAATACTATCATTAAAAAAAAGTTAAAAAAAAAAAAAAATGATAGCTCGTCCGAGAATCGATCCCGGGACCTCTCCCATGTGAAGCGGGAGACATACCACTAGACCACGGAATCGCTTTAACTGAAGTGAAGTATATGCAGAAGTGAAGTCACATATACATGTATATATTCATGTTCGGTATTGTCAAAACTTTACACAATCCATGGTGTTTGATTTATTTAGCCGTTATTAAACAGTTCTAATAGATATAATAAGAACATAAAGTCCACCGAGAACCTGTTTTATACGCAATAACTCTCCGCATGCCCCTGTGCTAAAAATAGCGACATGCAATACTATAAATACTAATAAAACAAACGGGGCGGGGCATTTTGAGAGGGGTGAGAGAGGTCCTAGGGAGTTTTGGTATAAATTACATTGCATAAGCTCAAAATCTTCTTGAAATATCGCCCGGAAATGATAGTGTTACACACAGACAGAATGTATAAATTTACGACCTTGAATTTTGACCTTTTGACCTCAACATCAATAGGGGTCTTCCTTAGGCCACAGGGAGTTGTTATGTAAAATGTCATTGCAATAGCTCAAATGGTTCTAGAGATATCGTGTGGAAACGAAAGTGTTATAACAGACAGAATTTGCTTATTTATGACCTTGACCTTTGACCTTTTGACCTCAAAATCAATAGGGGTCTTCCTTAGGCCACAGGGAATTGCTATGCTAAATTTCATTGCAAAAGCTCAAAGGGTCTCGAGATATCGTGTGGAAAAGAAAGCGTTACAGACAGACAGAAAGACGGACGGACGGACGGACAAACCCAAATTAATATTCCCCACTTTTCAAGCGGGGGACAATAATATTCTTATCTGTTTTCAAACAAAAAAAGGTCTGCTGGGAGCCATTTGAGTTAAGAAGGGGAGCAGGTTGACGCACCTTTTCCTTATGTTTCCTTGGTAATATGAACTACATTTTATCGATAATGTAATCTTTAAATGGAAAAGGTGGGGAGAATGGGTGGGTGGTTTCCACGCACCTAGATGTAATGCCTCTGTTTCAGTATTTTAAGCTCACCTGAGCCGAAGGCTCAAGTGAGCTTTTCTGATTAAAATCTGTCTGTTGTCTATCGTTGTTGTCGTTGTAAACTTTTCACATTTTCATCTTATTCTCAAGAACCACTGGGCCAATTTAAACCAAACTTGCTACAAAGTATTCTTGGATAAAGGGGATTCAAATTTTCAAGAACCACTGGGCCAGGAAAGATGAAACTCATGTGGAATCATTCTCAGGTAGTGTAAATTCAAGTTTGCTCAAATCATGACCCCCAGGGGTAGGGTGAGGCCAAAATGGCTGATCAAAGTTTTACAAAGGATTATATACGAAAAATCTTTCAAAGATCTTCTTCTCAAGAACCACTGAGCCAGGAAAGATGAAACTCAGCTAGAATCATCTTCAGGTAGTGTAGATTCAAATTTGTTCAAATCAGGATCCCGGGGGTAGGGTTGGGCCAAAATTATCTATCAAAGTTTTACATAGGAGTATAAAGGAAAAAAACTTTAAAAATCTTCTTATCAAGAACACTGGGCCAGGAAAGATGAAACTCAAGTGGAATCATCCTCAGGTAGTGTAGATTCAAGTTTGTTCAAATCATGACTCCCAGGGGCTAGGGTGGGGCCAAAATGGCTGACCGAAGTTTTGTATAGGAATACATATATAGGGAATTTTTTTTTTTAATCTTCTTCTCAAGACCCACTGGGCCAGAAAAGCTGAAACGCAGCTAGAATCATCCTCAGGTAGCGTAGATTCAAGTTAGTTCAAATCATGACCCTTGGCGACAGGGTGGGGCCAATCAAAGTTTTACATAAGAAAATATAGAGGAAAAACCTTTAAAAATCTTCTTCTCAAGAACCATTGAGACAGGTAAGATGAAACTCATGTGAAATTATCCTCAAGTAGGGTAGATTAAACTTTGTCCAAATCATGACCCCGGGGGTAGGGTGGGGCCAAAATGACCGACCAAAGTTTTACATAGAAATATATAGGGAAAACTTTAAATATGTTCTTTTCAAGTACTTCAAAGCCATGATTAGTAATATTTATATGGAATAATCCTCAGGTAATTTCTATTCTAGTTCGTTCAAATCATGATACCCTGGGGGGTTACCATTCACGCGCCCCCCCCCCCCCAACCTCAGTAAATTTTAGTCCTGATCTGATATGTGCTTTTTCCTAGCCGATGTGCTCAGGTGAGTGCTGTGGCCCCTGGGCCTCTTGTCTTTCCTTTCGTTCAGTTCTGTTCCGTTATGTGCAGAACTATTAATTGGCAATTAGAAAATATTTTGTTTCTGTTTTGTACTGATAATTCCAATTAAAATTTTAGGAATATAAATCTACTCCTGTGCATTTCAAATTTCAGTTTAGGTTATATGTTTATATTTAGCCTCGTCTTTCATGATTTTAGAATGCAAAGAGTGTTTGGCTTTATATAGTAAGTTGTGCAAGACTGTTTGTCGAAGTTTTCCATTTTACAATATATGTAGTAACAAAACATCTCTTCTTATTATTTTAGCAGTTAGCAGTCGTGATAGAAACAAAATCATTATGGAGACTGAGGAGGAGGAGGAATCGACCTCCACGTGTGCCCAGGTAGCCACCAATCCAGGTATTACATTTATATTAAGTGCTGAATGGCTGTGTCTGCAGACTTTATGAATATATTTAGAGAGTATTATCAAGTTTTAGTTTGTAATAACACAGTGTGTACTAATTTATGACCTCGTCCTGTCCTTGAAGATTTATTCCTCTTTGTTTTAAATACACTTGTAAATAAAAATCAAATAAAGTTTATTAAAAAATATTTTTGGGAAAAAATTAGTTTTTTTTATGAATAAATACACCTTTCCATGATAACTTTGACGTTCTAAGTACCGGGGCTATTTGATTTTTTTAAATCTGTGTGCTTACCCGAATAGGTTTCAATACAATTGATTATGGATAAGGCCATTCGGTTCACCATAATACCATCGAGCATCGACTAAATGATCAATGGCGTTATAATGCGATGACGGTGGTGCGATAGTGAACTTCGCTTCATCGTCATCATCCCATCGCGCCATCGTCATTGCATCATCATGTTATCGCTATCTTGCCACGCACAATCGCTTCAACGTGCCATCGCATCATCGTTATCACATTGTCGTGCCATCGCCTCATCGTCCTCGCGTTATTGCATCATCTCTTTATCGTCATCGCATTATCACACTTTTGTATGGAATCCGGATAGGGCCACGCAGTTCACTATCGCATCATCGTACCATCGAGATTTGAGTCGATGATGCGATGACGCGATAATGCGATGACAATGAAGCGATGGTGCGATAACGATGAAGCGATGGCGCGATAGCGCGATGACGATGATGCGATGGCGCGATAGTAGCGCGACGACGATGATGCGATGGTACGATGGAGCGATAATGCGATGGCACGATAGCGATGATGCGTTGGTGCGATTGCGATGGCGCGACAGTGATGATGCGGTGCTATATCGTGCCATCGTTACTGCTTTATCGCGCTATCGACATCGTGTCATCGCACCATCGCTCTATCGACTATATAGATAGGATGGCATTTTCAGCAGGTAGTTAATTCGAGCAAAGATTTGATTGCCCAGTGACAATTTACTGACTTTGATTTTGTATTTGATGATTCTATTTTAAATAACAAACACGAAGTACCAAGAGGAGAGAGGGAGGAAGACTTTTGTTTTGTATTTGCTTTAAATTTAAATCGCTTTCTCAGAAAGTACAATAGCGATGGGTTTAATTTCACCAGGGACCTATATATTAGTATATACATGTTGGTCCCTGATTTCACGATGCAAGAAATTAATTTACATTTCGTATATGCATTTACTTGTTTTAATAGTTAATGATAGCATTCACGATGGGTTTAATTTTGCGGAAAAAATGAATCGCGAACATAGTGAAAGTAAAACCATCGTAATTATTTCCCACGTAATTATTTCCCAATCTACAGTATTAATCCCCCCCCCCTCCTCGTTTAGAAACAAAATCTAGATCACGCGGATTTCGATTTCTTTTACATCATTCACAACATGAGTGTATTGTTAACTTTATCTTGATTATCAAACTATATTTTAACAATCTTCTAACTTGTTATATGTCTGGCAATAAAGACATGGTTAATTTTTATGCCAAGTGAAGTTAATTCACCCAGTAAAATCTATTTCCGATATGTATTCTGTTCATACTTTCACAACCTGACGCCATTTCTCTTCTCAATGGCGCATGCGCAAAAGAGTCGATAGCGCGATAGTGCGACAAAGCGATGACGATAGTGCGATAGAGCACTGATGATGACACGATAGAGCATCGCTTCATCGTTATCGCGTTATCATCGCTATCGCAGCATCGCTATCGTGCCATCGCGTCATCACTTTATCGCTCCATCGCACCATCGCTTCATCGTCATCGAAGTATCGCGCCATCGCGTCATCGTCATCGCACCATCGCTTCATCGTTATCGCTTCATCGCTCCATCGTCATCGCATTATCGCATCATCGCACCATCGACTCAAACCTCGATGGTGCGATGATGCGATAGTGAACTGCGTGGCCCTATCCGGATTCCATACTTTTGACTTAAACCTCGGTAGTGCGCTAATGAACTACGTAGCCCTATCCAGAATCCATACTGATCCATTACTTTCACATTGCCCATGATTAAATTCTTGTTTGTTCCTTATACTCGTTTACAATAATGATGGAAATTACATTCCCTGGCACATTAACTAGTATGTTTTTCTCAATTTTTTTTGAAAATTCTTCTTCATGGTTAATATCTTTTCACCCAGTTTGGTCACACGTTTAAAAGTGTTTTTACCGAATAAGTGGAATTGTTAGCGATCACAGATAGCAAACCTTCCTTAAAAATCAACATTTAATTTTAGCGAGAAATAATTTAAGCGATTGAAGAGTGCATAGAAAGCTAACGATAAACCCTTATATTGAATAAATTGGTAGCTATATTTCTAGCGATCTCAACACGCTCAAAATGCCTCAAATGCCTCTGTTTCAGACATTTTTTCTATGTGTTTCAGTTCTGTTCCACGTATACGCAACATCCGATATGTACATGTATGTTCCCAATATTTTCAGTTGAAATTATCAGAACAAAACAAAACCAAATACTTTCTAATTGCCAATTAATAGTTTAGCACATACATGTACCGTATATACTCCCCTATAAGTCGGTCCGCCTATAAGTCGGTTGTATTTTTTGACTTTATTTTGGTTGGATTTGCTATTGACACGCTTATAAGTCGGTACAATTTTTTGCCAAAATCTGGTGACAATTTCAAGTTAATCCATTGATTTTTAACCTGGTTTCAATAAATATTTTTCAAAATGACACTAATATTTAATCTAAAATTATTAAACAAAAAAGCAATGCTCACTTAAACATTTAAAATACAAATAAAATTATTAAAATTGTCAATACTTGTACTTTATATATACTAAGAATACATAAATTATCTTATATATCCTGGCCAGACATTTTCTTGGATAATCGTCGAAAATGCAAATAAGATACTACCTTTTAGCCGCTAGAAAAGTGAAAATCTCTTTATGACTCGCCTTTAAGTCGGACATAGAGTTAAGGACCGATCTTTAACTCCCAAAATACCGACTTATAGGCGAGTACATACAGTACATATCGGATGTACATTTACCTACCGTAAATCTGGAAAATGTTGCTGTAGATAAATTTTTAGCAAAGAACTTTATGCGGTAATAACCAATATTTGCCCCCCAAATCAAACGTTGATGGAAATATATTTAATTAAGTTCTTAAACAGGGGAGTATGTGCTGACTTCAAAGCACTGAATATTTTCATAAGTTATGACGTCATATGTACGTAATGACGTCACAAACATGACGTAAATTTCAGTTTTTTATGAATTCTACAAAAAAATGTACATATTTCGTCGATATTTTGAGTAAAAGTCACCGAGCGCATGTGTGTTCAGGATCAATATTTTGATATAAAGTGTAGAATGATAATATCAATGAAATATGTAAATATTGTTCCTGAACACACATGCGCTCTATAAATTTTAAAGCTAAAATTGTTGAAATTTTGTCCATTTTGTCCTCGTTCTAAAAAAGGATATAAAATCGGACTAGTTTGTGACGTCATAAAAACAAAAATAGTGAATAAAATGCTTTGAAACTATAATATGTTCTGTTAATTTGTATTTCTCATACAATTTATTGAATTCAGCACATTTCATGAAGTTTTCAAAATGTGACTTTTGTGGGGGCAAGTATATGCAATATACCGCATATAGTTCTTTGCGAGTGCATTGCATTTGCAAAAATATTTTTCTTAAAAATAAATCACCAATAAGAAAATGTAAACAAAGCAGTGGTCATTCGCAAAATTTTGAAACGTAAAAATCAATCAACAGCATTTTGACCCGAATTCGCAAAATAAAATCGACGTAAAAATTTCCAGATTTATGTAAATCTACACACATGCATTTCAAAATTTCAGTTTGGGTTATTAATTTTGTTTAGATTTAAGCATTTTAAAATGCAAAGAGTGTTTGGCTTTACTTCTTTTTGTATAGTGAGTTATGCTAGACAGTTTGTCGAATTTTTTAATTTTATATAGTAATAACACATCTCTTCTTATTATTTTAGCAGTTAGCAGTCGTGATAGAAACAAAATCATTATGGAGACTGAGGAGGAGGAGGAATCGACATCCACGTGTGCCCAGGTAGCCACCAATCCAGGTATTACATTTATATTAAGTGCTGAACACGATTCGTAAAAGTATTGTGTCCGCCATTTTAGTTCCAGAGTCTTGCTACCCTGCAGACCCCTATAAATAGGGCAGGAATTAGAGACTGTTCAGTTTAATCAGTCGACAACGGTGTAGACGGACGTATGCTATACAGGACTTAGTAGCGAAAATAAAAACGTAATACTTCGTCTAATGCAGGAAAGCAAGATACCAAATTTTACAATTATAGTTGTATAAGTCTGTGCAATATACAAACAACATAGATAAACGTAACTGCAATAAAATATAAACAAAGGTAATGCAAGATAAACAGCACGAACACGGGTCGTCATTCCACGCCGATGCCTGTGACAAAAAAGCAGTCAGGTGTAACGAATGCGACGAGTATACCCTAGTAGAGATTGTTCTATCTGACGCATCCGTATCCGTATACGTATCCGTATCCGTATCTAGGTATGAGAGGCATCTCGATCCCGATGCTTAAACCATCGAGTTACATTTCCATCGTTTCATGTTTGGTTTTTAACCTCATTCACTAAGAAATGATGTGTAGTGTGATATTTTTAATAAAAGCATATTAGTTGCTGTACACGCCTTATGCATCCTGTTCAAGGGGGGGGGGGGGGGGTAAAAGTTTCAAAATAAAATTCGAAAAACAAATTTGTATGTTTTTTTTTAATTTAAATGAGTAAAAAATATTTCGAAAATATTTCTAGATTCACCTCTCTCTCTCTCGCTCGCTCTCTCTCTCTCGCTCTCTCTCTCTTTATATTACGGTATTTATTGTTCATTCTCGAATTAACATTTACAAGAACACGACATATCTCCAATAATATATAATTGTATATACAGTTAAACCTCTTAAACTCAAACTTGTAAATTGTAAATAAATGTAGTTGTACATTAACTGGGAAAGATTTAACCATACATTGTAGGGCAAAACAAATGTGTATGGGTGATTCACTGAATATGTCCATCCTCTTTGCCTTTTTTATCATCTTCTATGCCTTTCATTATCAGGTATTTGATGGTCATAGTTCCCCCAAAAATTTGGATAGCTGGTAATTCTGGGGCGGTTTGAATACACTCCCTAAATTGTAGGTCGATAGCCGTATCATGAGCGGCGGAAACAAATAGAAAGTGGTGGCGCTAATTGAAAAGGGGGGGGGGGAGCTAAACCAACAAAAAAAGGTAAACCCCAATTTTAAATGCCTATATTATGTCTATCTTTGCAAAAAAAAAAGTGGAAGGGAGGATTAAGCCTCCCCCCCCCCCGGTTCCAACGCCTATGCGTATATATGGTTTCAAGGAGCTTGAGAATTGAACATGATCGAGTTTATAGTGAACAAAGCAAGCTCTGAAAAACTTTGATATTTTATCATTGTAATTTTTCTTAAATGTGTGATTTTTTGTCTTGGCTACATTATGGCTACATTAAAGCAGTTCCTTCTCATCAGTTCTATAATTTGTGTACACTGACCTCGATTCCGGCCAAATTATATATATATATATATATATATATATATATATATATATATATATATATATATATATATATATATATATATATATATATATATATATATATATATATAATATATATATATAAAAGAAAGTAGGATAAAAAAGAAAAGAAAATTAGCACGATGGACGAGTAAGTTTAGCAAAATCAGATGTATTATTTTGAAAAATTTGAGCCATAATTATTATTTCATTCTTAGCATAAAAAGAGAGTTGAATACCGTATTATGAAATAGTTTTTATATCAAACCACAATTGATGTTAATGAATGAAAGTTAAAAGATGTTTAACTTACTTTTTTGTTTGTCAAGGTTTTTCAGGGCTGATTTTTTTCTCTTTCAAATAGCCCCCTACCTACTTTTAATTTGCTTCTGACGCCAATATGAGGGTAGGGGAAAAGGAGAGAGTAACATGGGCTCTTCAAAGCATATACTCAATACTTATAACGGTCCTGAAGCTAATTATGAAATCAGTTTGAACAGTCTCTTTAAAAACGGCTACAGCGTTTTATCGATTGCGTTGATGATTTTAATGATGACAACGAATTTTGTATGTGTGTGTGAGAGAGAGGGTGTGTGTGAGGGTGTGTGTGTGTGTGTGTGTGTGTGTGGAGGGGGGGGGGGGTAATTGGTAAGCCGTTACATGGCATATGAATAATACAGACAAAATCTATAAAAGATATTAAGCGAGTGGAAAACGAGAAAGGAGATTTCCTACAAATATTTTGAAGCAAAATGAAATTAATTTCAAAACAATATAATTAAAACAAAATATTTTATACTTGACTTCATTTTCTTTCTTTTTTAAATAAATATTTTTTACGAAATGATAGAGGTGTACAACAGTTTATTATTTTTAATACAAAAATTACTATTTGCTATTTTCTAATGCATGGACTGTGGCTTATTTAACCACAAACAGAGATGGAAAATGTAATAAATGGTTTAGACATCGGGATCGAGATGCCTCTCATACCTCGATACGGATACGGATACGGATACGTCAGATAGAACAATCTCTGATATTGATGTATCGTAGATAATGCTATCAAAAATGGCGTATGCCTATTTACGAGTCGTGTTCAGCTTTAAATGCTCAATGGCTGTGTATCCAGACTTTATTAATTGAGATCAAGTGGGATTTACAGCAAAACTCGTTTAGTAAGAACACGGATATAGCGAATTTACGGATATAGCGAAGTCATCTTAGATTCCTAGCTATATAAATTTTATGACTTTCTTATACGTTTACAATGAATTACGGATATAGCGAAGTAATTTCATAGGTCCCAGTGACTTCGTTATAACCGAGTTTTGCTGTATACTTATCGATTTGTTGCAGGCTAGCATGTGTTAAAAAAATTCATGTAAGAAATCCCTGTAAACTAAAAATAAATATGAATATCAAAACTACTTTAGTTTATTCATCTTTGCAAAATTATGTAATAATACTATCCTTCTTTCTTAAATTATCAAATATATTCATAAAGAGCATTGATACTTTCAATTCTTAAACAATTTAATAACTTTTAGCCATACATTCCTGTAGCATTTATAAGCAAAACAAAGGTAAAACACTATACCCCTCTCCTTTGGAGCGAGGGTAATGAACACATACAATATACCCGGCAATACTTGTATTGTGAATGACCTTAATATTGTATCTCGTTTTAAGCATACGTCCAAATGAAACTTTAAAGTGATTTTTTTAAGCAAAAAGTAATAAAGAGCCAAATATAGTGGCAACAAAAAGTAACAGACATGATTGGCCATATAGTTTAGATGTATACATGTATACCTACTTTGTGCAACTGTAGCTGTATCCACGCACAAAAGCAGCGAATCGACTCTCTTGAGACGTAATTCCTAAATGTCGACAGACCGACGACTTTAAAAATTGTCTGCCGATGGTCGGACGATGATCGAAAGTTGCTAGACGGATTGCTTCAATACAGGAAATGGCCACGAACGCAGAAAAAATATAATTTGTAGCGACTGACACAAATTTGTCCGACGAAAAAAGGGTCAAAATCTGACAAGACAACGAAGAATTCTATTTTTGCTTAAGGTAGGATTCTTCTCTGGTTGCTGACTAGATGAAACATTTAAAGTATATTTGCTTATATGTCTTGTATATTTAGGTGTAAGGGATTTATATATATTTTTCTTTCCTCATCACAATTGTACAACTTTAAATAGAAATGGTAAACTGCGTTTGAAAACTGGCAGGGACTATATTTTTGGCGGAATGGTGGCGTATGGAAATATTCTCTTTTCTGCCTCTCAAAATTATGATAGAGCAATGAATTTAGTTATAATTTTAACACTATCAAAGACTTGAAGAAATTTTAAAATGTAAGTTTAATTAATAATAAGGGACTAAAGTTTCAAAATATATCAAATAAATATGATTTTGCAAACAAATTAAAACTATGTAGCTTTTAAATGCTTCCAATCAAAGTACAGATTTGAGCCAACAATCCATAAAAAGTATATTTTCTCTCTTATTAAACGATCAAAACTTTTTGTTTTTATATCATTTTGTACATTTATAAGACTTCGATCTTTATTATATGTGAAAATAAGAAAAAGTTAAATATAGGAAGCATATAAGAATAAATAAAATATCCTAAAAAAAAAATAAGAAAAACAGAGAAAATTCGGATTAGCCAATATCCAGGTTAGTTTAATTATTATTTTATGTAAATTTGGTAACATAATGCTATAGACCCTATATAATAATACCGTTTTTATGTAAAAAGAACAATCTCTAAACGTTTGAAAAAGAAGTAGGCATCACATGATTGGCAACAGTATTTTTTAGTATAATGTCAAGGAAAAAAGATAATCACCTTGACCTAACCTAGCCTCTAATATAAAACGTTCAAATTTATTCTCACTGATACTATCACTTACTGATATTGCCTTCTTGATTGTGTGTAAATTTCATTAATTTTAAAATACAATAAATATGAGAAAAATCCAGCCTTAAAAAGTCGTCGACAGTCGCTCGTTTGTTTTGTTTAGTCTGCATGGGGAAAGTGACAAATGGGGACAAGTGCAGGAAAGTAAACTGATCAACTTCAAGATTTGTTACCGAGTACTAAATTATTTTGCTGATCCCTGGTCATCTTATTATCAATTGCTTTTGGGACGCATAGCTTTATTGATTAGCTTATTTTGATTTATTTTATACTTCAATCTATTGGTCATTTGCAAGGTCGCACAGGTGACCATTAAGGCCCTGTGACTTTTGAGCCTTTTGTTGTTAGCTCACCTGAGCCGAAGGCTTAAGTGAGCTTTTCTGATCACATTTTGTCTGTAGTCCGTCTGTCCATCTGTCTGTCCAGCTGTCTGTCTGTCTGTAAACTTTTCACATTTTCGATTTCTTCTCTAGAACCACTAGGCCAATTTCAACCAAACTTGCCACAAAACATCGTTGGACGGGGTTGGGTGGGGCCACAATGGCCGACCAAAGTTTTATATAGAAGTATATAGAAAAATTCTTTAAAAATCTTCTTCTCAAGAATAACGAAGCCATGATTGGTTATATTTATATGGAAGCATCCTCAAGTACATGTAGTCTAGATTCAAGTTTGTTCGAAATATGACCCCGGGGGATAGGACGAGGACACAATGGCCGATCAAAATTTACATGGAAATATATGTAGGATTTTTTTTTTAAATTTCTTCGCAAGAATAACAAAGCCATGATTGGTCATATTTATGTGGAAACATTCTCTGGTAGTGTAGATTCAAGTTTGTTCATATCATGACTCCCGGGGGTAGGGCGGGTCCACAATGGCCAATCAAAGTTTTACAAAGAAAAGTATAGGATTTTTTTCTAAATCTTCTTCTCAAGATTAGCAAAGCCATGATTGGTCATATTTATATGGAAGCATTCTCAGCTAGTTTAGATTTAAGTTTATTCAAATTATGACCACTGGGGGTTGGACGGGGTCACAATGGCCGACATTTTACATAGAAATATATAAAAAAAATTCTTTAAAAATTATTTTAAAAATTAACAAAGCCATGATTGGTCATATTTGTATGGAAGCATTCTCGTTCTCGGGTAGGGTAGATTAGAGTTTGTGCAAATCATACCCTCTCCCCTTTAAGAAATGGTTGGGACTACTTTTGGGTTTAAACTTAAACAATAATACACTAAATTCTTCTTTTTTCAAGCCAAAAAGCTTGGGCGAGCGATGTGGCCCATGGGCCTCTGGTGTTTAATATACAGCTACAGTTTTCTTAAAAACATCCAAGAAACATGCCTTTAATATGTAATAAAATATATTTTTAATGAGATGACCCTGATTATCTTTTGGCATTCAATAAATCATCGGATCTCATGCAGTAGATTTTCTTATTTGGTTTTACTTGTTATAACTTTAAACTTTATATACCGTTATATATAAAGAATACCAGTCTCCTTTTAGTTTGATTGCCGCGTGAACAATGCAAAAAGGAGCTAGTGAAGGTTTTGATTTTAATCAGTCTGAAAGTTAGAATACATTTTTGAGATATCGATGTTTTATATTAAAGGTACTTGGACACAGATTTGAAGTTAATTTTTTTTCTATAATATTACGACTTATATATTTTAAAAGCATTTCACACAAAAATTAATTAAAAATTTTATTTCGTTTAAAAGTTATTAAAATTTTAATTTTTTTGGCGCGTTTGATTGACACATCTTTGCACTTTCACAAATTTTAACTTTATTCTTAATCCTTAGGAAAATTGACATTCTTGTTGTTTATTAATGAAAAATATTAATACTATAATCCAGAAAATTCAGAGTAGACATGTTCGAAAGCAAAACAAACACACAATATATTGTCAGTCCGTGTAGTTGTTGTGAGCAGACTTTGGCGTTTAAACGCACCCGGTGAATCAAAACACCAAACAATAACAAAAGCTTTCGCGCTGTTTACAAAAACTGTGTACATAACACGAGTGTGCTCGATTTGCTTAACTCTGTACACAACGGAATGACAATACTTGTGAAGGAGTTTTGCTTTCTAACATTTTTACTCTAAATAAAATTATTTTCCGGATTTAAGTTTTAATGTTTCTCATTAATACACAACAATATTGCCACTTTTCCTAAGGATTAAGAATAAAGTTAAAAATTGTGAATTAAGTGAAAGGATGTGTCAATCAAACCCGCCAAAAAATTAAAAGTTTTAACAACTTTTAAATGAAATAAGATTTTTAATTAATTTTTTTGTGAAATGCTATTAAAATATATAATTCGTGATATTATACAGAAAAAATTAACTTCAAATCTGTGTCCAAGTACCTTTAAGGGAAGAAATAAACATTTTAAAAAACTTCAATTCAAAGATATTTTCCAGAATATAGCCCATTCATTCTTTAATGGTGATATTATAGAATAAATACATTCATTCTTAATTAGAAAAATAATATGTAATTTCAGGTAGAACATTAGACATGGATGTTCAGGAGGACGAGGTACTTTTTGGGGAGGTAGTGAATTTCTATGTTTTTATCATTTTGTACTCGCAAACCATGTAGGTTGCACAACAGTATTAATCTCTGCTATATATTCTTACCAAAAATGCGCAAGTTTGAGTAGGTGTAATAAATTCAAAACAAACTTCTCAGAAGTTTCCTTTTCAGATCTTGTAAAACCATTCTTTATAAAGATTTTAGTACCAAAAAATACATAGCCATCCAACAAGGCACGCAAGTTTGTTTCGGTCGAAGTCGAGCAGGTGTTTGAAAATCTAGTCCAGGGCCTAATCATAATCACTCCCCACTCTTGACAGTATATAGAAAAATCAGCACGCCCTAAATTTTAATAAATCTGGTCAATACAGGAAGTTTATATGTTGTTTTTCATCTCATAAAAAAAATTCAGCTCCAGTCTCGTATCAAAATGCCCGAATCGGAAGGAGAGATTCCGGGATTATTTTCCGTCAGCCATAATTTGACGTGAACCCAAGTGCAATACTGTTACGACACCTGCAATTAAACTTAAAAATTTTCCTTGCCGGTATATTGCTATTTTCCCCATCTATGATGAATATTCACTGTATTTACCAAGTTTCATACTAATCCGTACTAAGATAGGAAAAATACGGGCGAAACTGTGAGACGGGGGGGGGGGGGGGGTTCGCGTTGAACACGGATTTCTAAAAATATGGCAAAAGTTGTACTGTATGTAATGATCTTGCGCGTTCAACTTGTGCTGTTTTCTCGTTTTAATTTTTTAATAGATGCATAATGATTCACATGAGAATGAAAAATTGTTCAAAAGAAGTTTGCTTTTTATATCAGGGCGACAGAAAGATTTTTTGTCATAAGATAGGGGGTGGGGTTTAAAATGGGTTATAAATAGTACATATTATTGAAATATCAAGGTGTTTTCTGCTTAATCACGAATCATTTGCCTCAATAATTATTTTTTTCGACCGGATTTATTTGTCTTTTACCAATGTGTTCCAAATAAACCGATATTTACACAAATTCAAATTTTTTATTTAGCTCCGAGTGAGGTCTAAATTTTTTAAATTTATAGATTTTGAAATTATTCATGAGTAAAGAATGTTAACGAGTGTAATGGCAAGGTATTTTTTAAGCTGTCCTCTAATTTTCATGCATTTCTCTCAACCCAATACATCCAAATCGGGCCGATGTGTGGTCAACATAATTTATTTTAGAGGAAATCTGGACTAATTTTTCTATGCTCCATTTAACACGAACGAACAGCAATGACGGCCGAAAAATGCCATTATTTCTCATTTTCCGTCTAAACTCACAAAATAAAACCTTAATTCTTAGACTACAATATTTCTAAGTATAAAATTCGGTTTTACTGCAAACATATTTCAACAACAGTAAACATTGATCAACAAACGCTCAGACATTCCTTGTAAGCGTGTAATTTTAGTCTTAAAATTTAATTTCTCAAGCTACATGTACATAATTGGAAATCGATCATTACACAGACTGTTTTGGGCACTGTACTTCTTTTCATACAACGATTTTCATTTTACACCTCTCAATTTGCTTTAAGCTTCTTTAAAGTTAATTCTTATAAAGGTTTTATAAAAAGTCGAAATTTTTACCCCATAAAAAAGTATTTTAAAATTACATATTTAAAGAGAGTTAGGTTCATTTTACCTAACCGTAGATACCAATGTTTATTAATATGATATAAAATACTGTGAAATCACAAATTTTCGTAAGGGGTTATTTTTCTTGTTTTCGAGGTATCACGAGACCCACGAATTCATGTCCACCACGAAATATAAAATGTTACATACATAAGTGCTCATTAATTCTTGGTTCACAAATTCAAATCCCCACGAACCAAGAGATTTTCATCCAACCACGAAAATTTGATACCACAACATATGTGCTTTTACAGTAAAAAATGATTCATGTTGTTAAGCAATGATACAAAAATCTTTATATACAGAGCACTGTAGAGTGTATAAAAATTTTTTAGTACCATATATGTATAAAAATTGTGCAATTTCTTCAAAAGCCAGGATAGCTAGGATTATTAGGTCGCCTGAGTAAACTCAGTTGACCTATTGCTATCTGTTTTCCTTCGGCGGTGTTCTTCGTGCGTCGTGTGTTAACATTTGAACATTTTCAGCTTCATCTCTGAAACCGCTTGACCAAGTTCAACCAATTTCAGCATATAGTATCCATGGGCGAAGAGGAGGTAAAATTGAAAGGAACCAAAATTACATTGTCCCTGTCCCCCAGGGACCTGGGTGTGGGGTAAAAGCCATTTAATGCAATCTTTAAAAATCTTTTTTACTCCTGGAAATCAAGAAGTCAAACTGTTGGTATGATTGTAATCAGCATTTAGTTTTCTACCAAAATTGTTAAATTCATGATCACAGGGTCAGAGGTTCTAGTGCTAGGGCGGGGCTATATAGAATATACAGTGAAAATGCATTATTTCTTTGAAATTCTTCTTCTCTGCTCCTGGGCATTAAATAAACTAAACAAGTGTATAATTATGTTGAATATGGTTGCCTCTTTCAAATTGTGAATTTCGAGGCCCCAGAGTTGGGGGTTTTCTAGTACTAGGGTGGGGCTTTATTGATTATATAGTGAAAATGCATCAATTCTTTAAGAATCTTCTCCTCATGAACTTTGTACAAAGTTATGATGAAGAAGGAAGCCTCTTTCAGATTTGTGAATTTTAGGGCCCCTTGGTCAGGGCGTCTTGTGTTAGGATAGGGCTTTAATGTTAATAAAGTGAAAATGTATGAATTCTTTGGAAATCTTATCCTTTGCTCCTTGGTACAATTGTATAATTACTGCATGCCAATGATCTAGATACATATCTATAATGAAGAAAGCTGTCCCTTATAACATTGTTAATTTCAGGGCCCCTGGGTCAGGGGTACCTGAAGGGGCGGGGTACATAGTCTAAAAATAAATTAATACTTTGAAATCTGATATTTATTTTATTAACCATATTAAACATAACTATGCACTTGGTTAGTTTATTTAACGCCCAGGAGCAGAGAAGAAGAATTTCAAAGAAATAATGCATTTCATAAGCAAAAAGAACTTGCTGCGAAGTTAGAATTGTAAAATGCATCTCCTACATTGAACAAGGTCAAATTCCAGGATGGATTAAGATGGAAATAGATTGAAATTAACATATTGAAATTTTTTATGACCCCTGGATGTCTGTGAGGTAAACCTGCCAGTAGATTTATTTAATTAAAGAATTTATGTAGTCATTGTAGAATATTAGCTCTTCTGGCACTCCGTTCTTTTACTATAAAGCTGTAAATATTAGGGATGTCAAAATATTAAATTTCCTTAGTCGAATATTCCATTGTATTATTCGAACGATAGTCGACTATTCGGAGCATTTATTATTTTTTTTATAGCACAGTGTTTTTGAAAGCTTTCATATTAATTAAATAAATTGGGATATTGAAATAAATTGGAAATGGGGAATTGTAAACACACACTATCCACACCTCCCATGAGAATGTAAATACTGTTTGTTTAATTAATCATTGCCCAAGCCGCTATATATCAAAATGTCTTTTATGTAAGATTATTGTTTTATCAAACTTTAAAACTTCACGTCTATGCAAATATTGTGTATTCTTAAGCATTTGAAATTCCTAGAGTTTATATATATACAATTGGTACAAGCTAGTCCATTAAATAATTTTCATAGTCCATTAAAGCGTTGCATAATTTACTACGTACAATAGCAAAAAAGTCAGTGATTGAGAATAATTATCGCAGAATGTAATTTCCCTACATACAATGTGCAAAATTATTTATATTATTAAAATTTATTTATGTTTGAGTTCTTATTCGTCTGAGGACGTACACTATACAGCTGTAAAGTTTGAGGAAGGATCCTTTTTCAATTTTGAGACGAAAATTTCATTACAGTATCATCCCCTTTTCTTGCATTTATCTAATATTCGAATGTTATTTCATTATTCTATCGTCGGTCCATTCGACTGACAGTCGAATAGTCGACTATTCGTTGACATCCCTAGTAAATATGTAAATAAAGTGAATTAAAAATATTTGGGAAAGAGAAGCAAAATCAATTCGTGCATTATTTCATAATAAACATATATTTTTTCTTTACTAACTGGGGGCACAGCAGAGGGTCAAAGTTTTACATGTATAAGAATATATATATATATAAGAAACATCTTGGAATTATCTGCTGCTGAAGAACAGTAAAACAATGATTAGTCACATTATTAAAGAAGCATCCTCAGGTCGTGTAGATTCACATTTGTTCGAATTAATGTTGGAGAGACTGGGGCCATAATGAGGGATCGGATTTGTACATAGAAATAAATAAGGGAAAAATCTTTAAAATTATTCTGTTCAATAACAGCGAACCCATAATTAGTAAATTGATTTGACAGCATCCTAGGGTAGTGTGAATTTGTGTGTGCACCTCCCCGTAAATTTTTTCAATACTGAACTGATTTATAGTTTTTCATAGTCAATGTGCTCAGGTGAGCGATGTGGCACATGTACCTCTTGTTGCTATATTGTTATTCATTTAAAAAGCTGTTCCTATATACATTGATACTTTTAAAAAGTCTAACATGTCTAGTGTTTTACTGACTTTTTCAGAGAGATGAAAAAATGAAAGTAAAACTAATCATCCTAACAACAACATCAAAAAAAATATGGTGAAAATAATAAGTCCCTTCATCTGAAATTTACGAAAATATATTAAGAGAAATACCTATTTATGGAATAAAGATTGAATAAAGAATTATTTCATAATCGCGTGCATTTAACATGTATGTCTAAACTAAGAGAAATTTTTAAAATTACAGCTAAAAGGAGCGCTATATTCTAAAGCCATAAGCATACTACTAAGGCACGGGGTTACATCAGAGGATTTTAAGAGAAAGACTGGAGCTTATCTTTGCACTGAAAAATGGACATTGGAGGGAAGCTTGGTTACGATAATGAATGGGATGAAATTTATTGAAGAGTTGGAAGGCGAAGAGTATGAAGCACCAAACTTCTCTACACAAAATAGGAATCGGTCTGCAAATAGTCCGGATTCCAAAACAGACACAGGCGTAGTAAACAAGTATTCAATAACTTGTAGCATACATGAAGAAAAGGCACTGAGAGAACTGTTTCTAGATACAGAATTGCCATTTTCCAGTGTTAATATTTTTGAAGTTAAAGCAGGTGAAAAAGGGATAAGTGGAACACAGAAAAATGTTATTCCCTTTGAAAAAGCCCTTTCAGAGCTACACTGCCAAGACATTTCAGAAATTCCCTTGATGGAATTTCAAGACTTTGTTAAAAAGAAATTAGAGAATGTTTCAGTTTCATTCGATAAAGAAAGACAAACTATGATAATCATTTCAAGATCTCCTGAATTGCTAAAACGTTCCATTGAGGAGTTTCGGAGATTGCAAGATGATATTCTGGCTTTAACGGAGGAAGAATTTAATTTTATCATCTTTTTTGAGAAATCATTGTCCCGAGATTTCCCAAAAATTGATGGTAAAATAATGGTTAAGGGTCCAAAATCTTTTGTAAATAAATACAGACAAGCATTAGATAAATTGAAGAAGTATCCTTTTCAGCGTATATCTATTACGGACCGTGTCAGTGGTGATGCGGAAACGTTTTTATCTCAGTTTTCAAGAGAAAATAAAAATGTGTACATTCAAATAAAAGACAAGAAGATATTCATTACTGGAAAGAAAACACACGAAGTTTTTTTGGCAAAGCAAAGAATAGACGAACAGCTAGAAATCATGAGAAAACGGAACAAAGGACTAACAAGCAATGATGTCTCTGAACAATGCTTAGCCGCGGTGAGAATCGAAATGAACGTGAAATCTGGCGTCCCAGATGTAAATCTTGTATCACCTAAGGAGACAGACATTGTCTTTCAAAAAAGTAACGTTAGAGTTTATGTTCTCAATGCCAATATTCTCCAAGTTAAAGCAGATGCAATCGTGAATCCGATGTCGACTGATTTATCTCATAGCATACTCAGAGAAGCAGGTTCATCAGTCAAAAGGCAGTGTTCTGAAGTTTTGGATTCGAAGAGAAATAATATACTTCAGATTGGAGAAGCCTTTGTCACAGATGGGGGCAATTTGTCTCATCTGTTGAAAATCATCCACGTGAATGTACCAAATTGGAATAATTACGCTGAGCTGGAAGTAGGTAGTCCATGTGAAAAGTGTATAGAAGATATTGCTGAAACAGTGAAAGTTTCCTTAGAGAAGGGAAATGACAATAATGTTTGTGCCATTGCAATACCACATATAAGTAAATGTAAGTAATATCATTACACGCCATTTAAGAAGACCAGAAACAAATACATTTTTATGAAAACTCTTTACTAGGAATCTGAATACATGTATCTTATGGCAGTTACATGTATTTCTTTTAAAAGAATCTTCTGTTCACAAATATGAATATGTCATATTTCTTTAAAAATCCTCTCTACACTGCACACTAGGTGAAATTAAATAAATAAGCTACTATTAACTCCTTTATACAATATATTTTTCTCAATGTCCAAAAAAAATTTTTGCACTTGTGTAGAGAGGGTCCTTAAAACGAAAGCAAGTAACAAACCAATGAAAGAAATTAAAAATGATGCTGATATGCTCTTTGACAACTCTTTTTGGGGGATGCTCACTCCTCATTGGAACCCGATCGCACCTCTGATGATTTAGAGGACCGTGTTTGCTCTGCATTCTCCTATTTTGTATTGTTTCATGGACTTCTGATCTTGAATACTCTGAATCTTCTGCCAGCAAATATATCCGATCTTAATTTTCTGGTCCGGTTTTTGCGCTCAGCTTGCTTCATTGGATCTTGCATCGTCTTCCCCACTATTTTTTTTATATGAACACATGACTGCAGGTATTTCCATTAATATGTTTATTTTCTTTCAGGTGGAGTTGGTTCGGTACCACTTCCTGTTTGTGGTAGAGCGTATGTATCAGCTGTGACGTCATACATTGATGCTTACCCAAAAAGTTCCACAAATAAAATCAGAGAAATCTACTTTGTTGACACAGATCAGACGAAATTAGACTCCATTAAATTTGCATTTAGTGGTTTCCAGCATTGGGTTTTCCTTCAAGCAGACAACGAAGAGCATTTTTACCATGGTGGAGGAACAGTACTAAAAATATTTGCCAGTGAAATTCTATTTGCAGATGCTGAGGCATTAGTAGCCCCACAGGAAGGTGAAATGAAAAGTGAACGTTACATTGCCAAAAGTCTTAAACGTTGCGAATGTAAAGCATATGCTGGGGAAATTGCAAAATTTCATGGATGTACATGGCCGGTTGGAGACATCCGAACTACATCTGCACCAAAATCTTTGAAATTTTTCCATATTTTGCATGTTTATTCCCCGAGTTGGAGATCCGACGTCTCATTAGACGTAAAGATCAAAGACTTGAGAACCTGCATTCAAAATGTATTCAAAGAGGCATCAAAACTTAAGCTTGGCACAATTGCAATACCAACTTTTGGTGGAGGTAATTAAGAAATTCTAACAAAACACATCTGTAATTCATACTATGATTTCCATACTGATATTGCAGATGCAATTTAATTTTCTCTTTCTCTTTGAAATAAAAAAAGTATGTAAATGGTTTTCGATACTTTTAACTAATATATATCGTAGTTTATTTTCATGTTCAGGACGTTTTAAGAAGAAATATGGCAAATAAACCATAAACTATTTAATTTTAGGAATAAAATACAACATCGACAAGCAGAGAGTATTTAAAGAAACTGCTAGAGCAATTGTTGAATGTCTTGGAGGAACTCCCGACAGCACTGTTCGTGTCATTTCCATTATAGACAGTGATACATTGAACATTACTTTAATGATTTCTGAATTTTACAAGATACTGAGTCAAGACGGAAGGTATCATAACACGGACGTCATTGACGTTCAAAGACCTAATTTACAAATGAAAGAAACTGAACTTAATCTGAAGGGCATCCTAGTTTAATAATAGAGTAGGTTTGAAATGTAATATCCGTATGTATCAGTCAAAGAAAAGTAAAGTTACTTCTTTTCTATTTATACGTTTCTATATGCATGTTGCTTTATTTATTGAATCTAAAATACAATATTTAGTACTTGATTCTTAAATTACATTAACGAAATTTCATTTTTTCTATCGTTATATCTTATACTGTAGACTTACTTGTATATCAAGCAGGATTGACAACTGAACATTTTTATTTTATAGTATGCAATCATGTTGCATTTTATTTGGTTTTGTAACATCAAATTAAGATAATGATTACCGGGGGTATATTGTAGGGCTAAAGCAAATTTTGAACCAAGGATTTGTGACTGTAATGTAGATTATGTAGTCACTGACACTAAATCCAATTATACAGTTGATGCAGCATTATTGAATAATAAAAATTTCAAGAATCAGAAATCAAGCTGATATGAATTCTTCTTCTGGCTATATATTCAATGATGGTACTAACATTAAATTTTTGTTCATGTCACTTTTTTGTGTCCTCCTGCTTTAGAATCTTGTAGACTTAAGTAAATATTTTATATGGTACTTCTGGAATGAGTATGATCACAGCAACATGCACCTGATGTATTTGTGGTATTCAAAAGAACCTAATGACAACTGATGATTAATAAAATACAAGTATGATTCTGCTTTATTATAAATAATGGTAAAAAAAAACAAGCAAAAGTGATTTTTTTTCAGGATACGAACTTCCTGCAAGCAAGATTTGTAATCCCCAAAAGTTCACTAAAATTGATCCATTAAATATCCTGTTTTAAATAAAAAGAGGCACTGTTTTATTCCTATCCTCAGAGTTATATGCATGTAGTAACTATTTTTATTACTTTACATGTATTTGCCTCTTGTTGAAATCAAATAGTGAAACTTAAACAATTACTTTAAAAAAAATCATAAATATCACAATTTGAGTACAGTACACTATACACTCAGAATACTAAGTGATACAAGTAAACTGTATCATTTCAATTAAGAGTCAAAATCAGCAAGCATCGAGCATTGAATGGAAAGTCAAAATTTTATTTTTTCAAATGCTTTTGGTATATGAAAGATTTTGTCTTACCTAATGCTAAAACACAATCAAATTTTTTTTCGAACGTATGAAGGGACTGGTATCCAAGGAAATTCATTTCCTTAGCAATGGGTTCATAAATCCTTATGAAAATCAATGATTTTTAGACATTTTTCTACGAATATTTTTTCTGAACGTGATAAGATAAGGTATTTTGGTTACTTTATTTGTTAAAAGATGGAATTACTTTATTCTCCAAAAATAGGAAAAACAAAATTTCTTTAGTGATATTGTTGCCATGACAACGGGAAAAGAACATGGCGTCAATGCTTATTAATTTTGAAAAAAGTTACATATGTTTATCACTTTATTCACAAAATCTACAAACACTGCTGGAAAAATGAATGGTATGATCTTGTTAGGGGTTCTCTATATGTCATATCTATACAATAAAATTTGCAGGCAACTTTAGCAGAAAAAAGTTACAAATGGTTAAAATGTGTGAAATTCTGGCATTTATAAGCTTTTTTGAAGGGGTGGGGGTAATTTGAATACATGTTCAGTGTCCATTATATTGGCCATATTGGTTCTGATCAAAGCATACTCATAAATTTACTATTGTTAATAAATAAATGCACATTCAATTTCAAAAGGAATTTTATATTTCTCACAAACGAAACTTGAAAAAGGGGGGGTAGGAATCACCTTGTTCACCGATCCATATGTATGTAAAATTTTGACTTGTCCATAACATTTCAATGAAGTGCCACTGAAAGTTCATACTTGATATTAAGATGGCTTGCGATCGAGAGATGTTTCAAAAACTTGACTCAAGGTCATTTGAACAAGTTCAAGGTCATTGGTAGAAGAAAAGTGCAACCTTTGCACATTCTGTAACATTCTAATGAAAAGACTTGTTTCATCTTGGAAATTATTTTTAAGCTGTAGGTTTGTCATTACCTTGACCAAAATTCATTTGAACATGTTTGCCTTTGACTCAAGGACATAGTTTTTTCAAGGTCACTGCAGTAAAAGTGTACTATATGAGTTTGGAACATTTACATATTTAACTTCGAATGAAGGGAAATTGGAAGTTTGTGCTCAACACAACGGTTTTACTACCTATGACTTGAGTATTTGTCATAGTCATTTTGGTATGTATATCTGCACTACCAAAATTTTACAAGGTTTCAAATTAGTATTTAGACCTTTTTTGTAATAAAAAACATTTAATGCAATAGCAGGAGGGTTGGTATCATTTTATTAGCTTGCTCACAATAATTCTTGTTTATGAAAGAGAGTCACTATGACAGCTCACATAATTATAAAGTAAAACCATGTCAATCAGGCATGTAGCATCAGGTTTGGGTTGGGTAGGGGGGATGACCTCCCCCACCCAACTTTTTTCTCAACGTACCCTAATGTTTAACCACACCACCCCTCCCGAGTTTGTCCGTTTGTCCTTCCGTCCGTCCGTCTTTCTGTCTGTCTCTGGAACGCTTTCGTTTCCACACGATATCTCGAGAACCCTCTGAGCTTTTGCAATGAAATTTAGCGTAGCAACAGTTACTTTCTATGGACTAAAGAAGAACCCTATTGATTTTGTGGTCAAAAAGTCAAAGGTCAAGGTCATAAATAAACAAATTCTGTCTGTTATAACACTTTCCTTTCCACACAGTATCTCTAGAACCATTTGAGCTATTGCAATGAAATTTTACATAACAACTTCCCGTGGCCTTATGAAGACCCCTATTGATTTTGAGGTCAAAAAGTCAAAGTTAAAGGTCGTAAATTTATACATTCTCTCTGTGTGTAACACTATCATTTCCGGGCGATACTTCTAGAAGATTTTGAGCTTATGCAATGTATTTTATACCAAAACTCCCTAGGACCTCTCTCAAAGTGTCCCGCCCCGTTTGTTTTATTAGTATTTATAGTATTACATGTCGCTATTTTTAGCACAGGGGCATGAGGAGAGTTATTGCGTATAAAAAAGGTTCTCGGCAGAATTTATATTCCTATCACATCTACCAGAACTGTTTAATAAAGGTTGAATTAGACACCATGTTTTGTGTAAATTTTTGACAATATCAAACGTGAATATATACATGTGTGTGACTTCATATTTGCATATAATTGTCGAAATTGTACAACAGTTCCGTGGCGCAGTGGTATGTCTCCCGCTTCACATGTGAGAGGTCATGGGCTCGATTCTCGGACGATCATTTTTTTTCTTTTCCAAAATTCTTTTTTTTTACTAAATGATAGTATTCAGCATGTGAAATGAAAAAAATTATGAGGTCTAGCTTGTACAAACTCATAAAATTATCATTACGTTGTGATAAATAATCCACATAAAAAGAATCTTCTATACACATGATTAAATCATTATATCAATATTGACATATTTTATTTGCTTCAGTATACATGTATACATTTAAAAATTCTACAAATTCAATTAGGGGGATCCGACCCCCCACTCACCCCCACCCCCGCCCCGAATTGCTCATGGTTTACTTTTTCCCTAAGCGGGGGACACAAATTCTCTGAATTAGCTTGTTAGATTTACATCAATAAAAAAAATGCTAACAGACAAACAAAGAATGTTACTTTTGGATTGAACATTTTTATTTGATCCACTTTCATGAATACACTGTACAATTTATGGATCTATTTTCTGGATCCCTGAGTCTGCGGTAACACTATCCACTCACTTCCAGCATCAATGGTCTGTACTGTAATGATGTATTCTCATAATGATAATCTGAAAAAGTGATAAAATTAAAATGTAATAATATTATACAGCTTTGCCTTCAGATACTTACTAAGAACCATTTCTAGTTGAGCTTGAGCAATGATGATGAATGCAAAGCATGTTTATTGGAATCAATTAAATTCCAAGAGATCTCAATGGTTTAGTTTATCATTTTATTTTAAAAAGTTAACGTTTATACTAAATGTATTATTTACACGTTTTTCCTGTCTAATTCTATATCAGCTCATCCAATTCTGTTTCTGCTTCTTTCCGAGTTTGGCTTCAAAGTGGCGAATTTCATTCTAAAAACAGAAATATACAACACAAAGTTGAGACGGTATTGATTTAGATATTCTTTAAATTTATAAACTTGTAATAAAAAGGCCAATTGGTTCTAGGTTTTGTCAAAACTCTAAATTGTGGTTTTCATTTCTTTCCAATAACACCCCCCCCCCCAAGAAAAAATAGAGTATAGAAATTCTTTTCAAAAATTTATGTGCTGTAATTCCAATGATGCTTATTATTTGAACCTAGTTGACTTAAGGATTTCAATCCCTAATGGTACCAAATTCTCTACCCTTAAATGTCCGTCAAGTACACAATACTCTGATATTATATTAAAGCATTTTATAATGGAAAAGGATTGCCCACGAAAAATTTTCAAAAAGTTCATTAATTAAGCAGTAGTTAATTAACAAAAATTGCATTGAAGTCTATGGGGAAAAGTGTTTTTTTCAAAATAAAAATTCAAATAATTTGAATATCAATAAATCCTGTGGTGGAAAGATGCATTGAAATATTATAAATAGAATGATAATTGAAAACAATTTTTTTACCAGCTAATTTTTTTTTAATTGATTTTTTTTTATTAATCAAAAAAGGGGAGATAACTCTTACCAAATTTCAAGGTCATGAATTAGGACACATCCTACTAAACATACTTATAGTAATAAGTGGGAAGTAATGTCTAAATAAACTGAGTATTCAATGCCTACATATCTGTTATTTCTTCAATTTCATTGAATTTCTTCCTATTAGGGATTGAAGACCTTAAATTAGTTCAGTGGTACCGGTGAAAATGTTAGCTGAATATGAATTTTCTTTCATAAGTAAACACTGGATGACATCAGCAAAAACCTTTTATTTTATTATTTTACTGTGATATATATACAATTCAGTTACCACTAGTCCACTACATTATATACTTGTCTGTATCACAATACTTCCAAGGTAATCCCCTTGGCTCAACAGGAGTATACGGAAAAGT